TCAGTTTTATCTTGAGGCATATTGGATGTAAAATTGCGAAGCTTTTTTGACTTTGTTAAGCTATGTGTGCACAGTGGCGTCAAATAAAAAAAAATGCGTGTTAAGAGTCCATGCCTGAAACAAACTACGGTGTCAGTTATAGCGCCACATAGAGGCAACATGAAATGATCCATTTTCTGCAGATTTCAGACTGTGTTTATAGTAAATGTTTGCAACTTATGTAAGGGACCAGGATATATTTTATATTATCACCATCAAACGCTTGCAGTCTCATCTAAAGGCTGAATTTGTTAATGGGTTCTTGTTTGTTTCTCTTCTGAATTTCACTAAGAAGCAGGAAGTTATATCTCGGCCTTACAACGTCTGATCGGGAGGTTATTTGCTATGTGCGTCTGAACACAGTTGTAGCGTTTTAAACTGTGTTTGAATTAAACTTTTGACATTTGGGCAACTTATAAAAGAGACCAAAAGCCACAAAAAAAAAATATATCAGAGTGAGTTTCCAAAACCAACAGGAAGTGAATAATGTTGTAAAAACCTTTTTAAAAAGCACGTCTCATACTTTGACGAACTCCTCATAGAGATTGTATCTGTTCACCTTAAAACTTCATTAATCTTATCTTAAGGCATATGGGATGTTAAATTGTGAAGCTTTTTTGACTTCGCTAAACTATCTACACAGCGGCAGTCGAAAATTGACACTTTTGACTCAGCTATACAATGTCCAATCTGGCTCAAATCAACCACTGTGTCTGAACACATCCACAACATAGACATAGTGCCACCAGGTGTCCACAGAAGGAACAGAATTTTACACTGATAAGGCACGTCTTAACAATTCTGACATATGTGACAAGAATCTTGGACAAAAAAATACAAGAAAGAGTCATAAATATTCAGACCTCGTTGGGGTCCTGTTACATTGAGGTGTGCTTTTCTACTATTAAATTTTCCTGTATCTTCTAAACAAGGATCAGACATGGTGCAAAGTGCAACAAATCGGCCACCGAGAGGCGATGGCAATGTAGGTGCATTTATAAACAAGTGTGCTTGAATTATTACTATACATTTTTATACGTAACAGTAATCATAATAGTTTCATCATTTTGGTAGATTAAAGGTTAACATTGCTTCTTTAACCAGAAGGTTCCTGGTTTAAATCCAGGTCAGGAATCTTTTAAAGCAGAGTTTTCACAAAGTAACCTCACTTTCTATGAACAGCCCACAAACATAATTCCACAAAGGACCTTTTCTGGGTCGAAGTACCCCTGGTTTACAGCCAGGATTAGCTGGAATATGTACGAGTAGAGCCCATTACTCAGGAATAATCCAGATGTTTGGATATTTTGGATATATTTTGATGAAAAAGAAACGATTACCATTTGGGGAGTAAACACGTAGAGTGATGGGGATGGAAGAAATGCCTTTATTTGTTCCCGTGATTCTGTCGGTCTCTGTTTCAATCTCTCGTCGAACATCAGCAAAGTCTGTGAACTTCTTTCCTTTAAAATGGAGAAACTCTGCATGTTCTGCAAAGGAAAATGAAGAAGTTAGAAACATGACAGGATTAGAAACTGTCTGCTTTAAGACATTTATACTTTGTTGATTTCACATTTTATATTTACATTTCAGTCCATGCATTTGGCAAATACTTTTATACAAAATCACTTACTTTCAAGGAATGAATAACTTTAGAGTTGCTAACCAATGCTCTACTGACTGAACAACAAGAAAGCAACCTACTTTCAAACTCGAATTCTGGTCTTAAAGTGGCGACACTGCCCTCTAGTGCTAGTAAAGTGTCTGTAAAGGGTCGTACAAACTGACACAACATTTAAGGGCTAGTGCAGCATTAGCCAGTCTTTTCAAGTCAGGTAGTGTTAAAAAAAAGGATTTTCTTAAATTTTAATTATTATTGTGAACATTTTTTCATACAGAATTGCAATATTGCGCTCTTAAGATAAGGATTTCAAGGTACACAAACTTTTAGAGGTACTGCTTTTAAAAAAGGAAGCGGTAATGAATTAATTATGCACCACAAACAAAATTCAGGACGAAAGAGAAATCCAATTCAAATCAATATCTGCTGTGACCACTCTTTTCTTTCAAAACAGAAGCAGTTGATCTAGTTTTGTTTGTGCAAATCCGAATGAACTCTGCTGGAAGGTTGTGCCAAACATCTTAACCCCAGATCTTCTGAGGATGTTGCTTTCTCACATCCTTCGGTCTCTTCGGTGTAATTCCAAACACACTCGATGATGCTGAGATTAGGCCACTGTGGAGGCCATGCGTCACTTCCTGTGCTTCTGGTTCTACTTTACCCTGAAGATGCTTCTTAGTAGTTCTAATCATTGAGAACACCACTAATACCATTTGCAGAAATGCAGACCCAAACATCCAAGCAACCTCTGCCATGCTTCACTGTTGCCTGCAGGCACTCATTATTGTATCACTCTCCAGTCCTTCAACCACAAATCTGCCTCCTACTACAACAAATATTTCATCAGTGCAAGAGTAGCAATAACTCTTCATTTTTAATAGGTTTCTTTAGTAATAAAGTAACAAAAGAAAGCAAACGGAAAACACCCGCAATGAGATACCTCACAAGAACTAAATAAAGAACAAATAAACACAATAAACTAGCAAACCTTGAGAATCAGCTCAGCTCTGGTTCCAGTTTCAAAATTGAACAGCTACAAAGGCATCAAAAAAGGGGGTCAGTAAGAAGGGAGGACTAAACTACAACCAGGAGGAGGATAACTAGTAAGGCTGTGCGATATGGACCAAATAATCATATTGTGGTTTTTTTCGAAGGAATAATGGTATTGCGATTTTTTTTTTTGCAACTATTTTTTCGTTTCTAAACAAGCTACATACATACTTACATTCTTAATGTATTCAGAGCACAGGAAGTGCATAACAAAACATTTCACAATGAAATAACACTGTAGTAAAAATCAATTAAGATTAACTAAGCTCAACTCAAGTTCATAGCACACTGCACACAGTCGTACTAACTGCTTGATAAACAAAACTTTGTCTTAAAAACAGACAAAATGAAAACAATAAAGACTAGCTAACCTGGATTCCAGTCATAACAATAAATAAAACTACCGTAAATCAAAACAGAATGCCCGCTTAAAGGTTTTTTTTTTCAAGAAAAACCAGCATGTCCACCATTTCTGGCTCTGGCATGAACTGTGGCATGTCATTACATTTCCCCAAGTACTAAACACTCTATAAAAATCTAAATAAATTAACAGATAAAATAGAAGCCTTACACGATTTAGAAATTGCATGTGTTTAAATCGAGATTTTTTTTTTAATGCACAGCCCCAATAACTAGTGATTATAAGCTCATCGCAAGACAGAGGTGGACTGAGGCACTAACTCGTGAGTGTGTGTGCGGAGGCATACGTGAGAGCCAGGTGGAAGTAAACACCCTGAGAAGGGACCAGGACGAAAGAGATGAAATTAGTATAAAGTACTGAAAGAGGAACAAGAGAGAAAGGAAACCAGACAGTATAGAAGATATCATACGATTGTGCGGAAGAAAACCAGCAATACTGCGATCCTCAATGTTTCTTTATGCATCTTCAAAAGAGCTTGAAAACAGAGTGCCATGACATGCAACTGTCTTAAACCTCCTACACAGCTGTTTCTGTATCGGTTCATGACTAAACCTTTCAACCTAATTTCTTTTGTTCACCCACTTTGCATTTCCTAAGTTTACAACTCCATTTTCACACCCGTATTGTAATTTCATGAAATGATGGAAAGAAAGTTTCTTTCAGGGTCACAATCTAAGAGTCAATAACTATACCAGAATATTGAGTTATTTACCTAATATCCTGCTCTTACCTGACGTTGAACTGATGAGCTGAAGCACCAGTGGTCTCCTTGTAACGATTCCAGAGCCTCTCGGCAGGAAATCTCTGAAAGGATACAAGTGACTATGTTAAAAATAAGATCAAATGCAGTCAGGAAACACATTCAGTGATGAAAAGCCAAGCACCACATGATACATAGACACGGGCTCTGTGCCAGAGAGTCCCTTCTTACTCGTTCTAGTCCACACTTACAGCGAAACCATAAACCCAGTCAAACCTCTAGAAACTACCCATGGCCCTCGTGTGATTGTATGTATAGTGCTTTTACACACAGCTAGTTCTGGCCCTTGCATTAGTAGCATGTTGGGTTTGGTAGCCTTTAAGGGTCATGAAATCTTTGATGTAAAGAATTAAAGACTGTAAGAAATTTAATGCGTCTTGAACAATATTTAAGAGAAGTGTTTGCGTTAAGAGGTCATGAACTGAGAAAACAAAAAGTGTTTTTTCTAGTCAATTGATTAAAAAAATAAAAAGATGTATTGTAAAATGTCAAAGTAAAAAAATATATGTAACCTCAACACAAAGAAATGTTGTAAATTCAAAATCAGAATGTCTATTGAATTTTTTATTTAGCTTGTATCATATATTTTCTGACGTAAACATGAATTAACTATTGGCTTAATTTATAATAGTTTATTGATCACAAAAACAAGTATTAGAAACACAAAAGGAAACTTCGCAATATTACAAATCAATATAATCTATCATTTAAGTAACACCCTAGTATTTATTTACTTTTTCTCTGTTAGGTTTTATTTTGCTTTTCTTGCAATGATTTTATATTTTGAGTTATAGTTTGAGCTATGGAAGCTACATTGTACTATGGAAGATTTGACAGAAATCAAAAAATAAAGAAAGTAGGGAACAAAATGAGCGAATCATGTGAAAGAACTCCAATCACATGACCAAGGCGAAAGTAAATACATAACTACAGTAGAGCTGTAATTAGGCCCAGAAAGTTTTGAGAGAATTGCACCTGAGCGAACCTGATTTTGTTTAATTTCATTGTTTATACATATTCAATTATTTAAACAAAAGGTAATCTCCAGAGACAAGCCTCTTTTTCACCTCCTTGACGTCCATTTTTGTGTCTCTCATGGAAATCTAACTTTTCCTGTGGCTCAATTGATAGAGCATTCCGCTAGCAACGCAAAGGTCATGGGTTCAAACTCCAGGGAAAGCAAGAATTAATGAAATGTGTTAATTACTTGAAATGTAAGTCGGTTTTGGATAAAATCGTCTGCCAAATGCAAAAAATGTAAACGTAAGCGCATGACTTGACTAGGCACCGCAGAGCCAAAGCCTGTGTACAATTACATAAATTAAGTCAGAACCAGCCTCGATTCGTCCTGGGCTCTGTCAGGTTCAGGTAATGATCTTCATGTGTAAACTCCAGACAGCTATTAAAACAATTATTTTAAATAACATTATTGAAGATAAAAAGTTGACTTACAAAGGGGGGGGGGGGGGTAGAGTTAAAAAATCATACTGCAAGTGTACTCAAGCGAACAGGGCAATGTGGCCCCAGAACAAAAAAACATAGTGGAGTCTGCTTCGAAAGATGGTTTTACGGATTTTCGTAAAAGTCTGCTGAATGCCAATATGTGCTAGCAACAACTATCATCTAATCTCCATATAAAGAAACGGTTGAGAAAACTACAGAGAGTCCGAAAGAACAAAAGCTGAAACTTTAAATTGTCCTAAACTCAATTGGAAGTCTTCTCTGTGGTTCGCGGAGGAGGAGGAGGAAATGCTCCACATTTTCTGAGTAACGCATTTTTCCTCATTTGTCCGCTAATACTGTGTTGATTGGATATAGACTTAACTATAGACTGTAATTCTCTTATTTGTCAATTTTACCATCAAATTCTTCTAAGTCAAGAATAAAACCTGAGACATCGATTACAGAATGTTATTGAGCTCAAGTATCCAGATAGAGACAGAATCTCGTTACATTTGATAAACACAGCCAGACAGAGAGAGAGTGCTTTAGGCAAACATTGGCTTATCAGAGAGCAGAGATTAAGAGCTCTTCTGAAGATCAAGTTATGATCCTCTCACACCAATAATGCACGGATTCTTAGAAGAAAAATTCCACAAAAAAATATTGTTTTGTTTTTGGTTTTTTTTTTAAAGTACGTAAAATTTTACCAACTATGTCTGGAAATTCAGAGACTGTGAGAGTGCTGGAGTGAATTGCTAGACAGACCCACTCACTTACATTATATATATATATGCACGTAACAGTGATATGACGTCAGATTTTAACTAAAACATGGGTAAAGTACCAAGTTCATAGTCCAGAACAAATTCTTTAAAGCATCTGTGTACAGAGGAAACTCTATAAATCAACCGGTCATGTATGGGGGACCTGGATTTGTGATATTCTTGACAGTGATGTTACATTCCTCCATCCACATTCCAGCAAGTTCACTGCTGTGGTAAATGACTACAGTGTCTTATCATTCAAAATGATCAAATCCATATGGATCAGATTTTGGTTACTTCGATGGCAGAATAACCGCACAGAAATATTGTTGCACAATTACCAAGTATATTTTATAGAACTCCTCTCCTTTTCATCCTAACCCAGACATGGTTAAATTTGAACCAACGACAAAACTACTTTAATCCTAATCCAAATTAGTTTTTAAATGGAGCGCACAATTTTGATTCCACAATATTTATCGTTAAGGGTTGTAATCTTTTTAGCAGTATAATCTATATGACTAATGGCAGAGCTGTGGAGCCTTGTGGAGCTAGACCTTCGCAGAAAAGTTCTGCTGTTTCTTGTAGTTTTCTATGGTAAAGACTCGCCCATGAGTCTATTTGACTGACCAAATTCGGTTAGCATTCGGTTAACAGGGTAAAACATCTCATATAGCTTGAGGAAAGAAGCTCTGTTTGTGCCGTACAGTCCTGGTGTTGGTGGCTCTGAAGCGGTGGCCAGAGGGCAAGAGCTCAAAAAGCTAGTGTCCGGGGTGAGTGGGGTCCAGAGTGATTTTGTTAGCCCTCTTTCTCACTCTGGAGGTGTACAGGTCTTAGAGGGAGGGCAGGGGAGAACCGATGATCTTCTCAGCCGTGTGAATAGTCCTTTGAAGTCTGTGGACGTCTGCTTTAGAGGCGGAGCAAAACCAGACAATGATGGCGGAGCAGAGAAGAGACTGGATGACTGCAGAGTAAAATTGGGTCAGCAGTGACTGTGGAAGATTGAACTTCTTCAGCTGTCGCAGGAAGTACAGTCTTTGCTGGGCCTTCTTCACAATGCAGTCGATGTGTGTTCCCCACTTTAGGTCCAGAGCGATGATGGTACCCAGGAACCTGAATGACTCCACTGGTTTCACGGTGGTATTCAAGATGGTAAGGGGTGTGTGTGCAGGGGGGATTCTCCTCAAGTCCACTACCATCTCCACTGTTTTGAGGGTGTTGAGCTCAAGGTTGTTTAGACTGCACCAGAGAGCCAGCTGCTCCACTTCCTGTCTATACGCAGTCTCCTCACCATCCTGGATGAGACCAATGATGGTGGTGTCGTCTGCGAACTTGAGGAGCTTTACAGAGGAGTTGTGCGAGGTGCAGTCGTTGGTGTAGAGAGAGAAGAGAAGTGGAGAAAGAACACACCCTTGGGGGTGGTTCGGGTGCATGATGTGAATTCCCCCATCCTCACAGACTGCTGTCTGTCTGTCAGGAAGCTTGTGATCCACTCGCAGGTGGAGTCAGGGACGGAGAGCTGGGAGAGTTTGTTGCGAAGCAGTGATGGAATGATGGTATTAAAAGCTGAGCTGAAGTCCACAAACAGGATCCTCACATAGGTCCCTGGCTTATCCAGATGTTGCAGGATGTAGTGCAGCCCCATGTTGACTGCATCCTCCACAGACCTGTTAGATCGGTAGGCAAACTGCAGGGGGTCCAGTAGGGGTCCAGTGATGTTCTTCAGATAGCCCAGCACCAGTCTTTCAAATGACTTCATGACCACAGATGTCAGGGCCACTGGTCTGTAGTCATTGAGACCTGAGATTTTAGGCTTCTTGGGGATGGGGATGATGGTGGAGCGTTTGAAGCATGCTGGAACTTCACACAGCTCCAGTGATCTGTTGAAGATCAGAGAGAAGATGGGAGCCAGTTGGTCAGCACAGGTTCTGAGGCAGGTTGGAGAGACACCATCAGGACCTGGTGATTTCCTCCTTTTCTGCTTTCTGAAGAGCTGACAAACATCCCCCTCGCTGATCTGTAGAGGAGGAGTGGGAGGATGGTCTATGCTGAGGATGTTTGTGAGGGTGTGTGCTGGAGGTGTTGATGGCTGTTCAGGGAGACGGTCGGGGGTTGTCTCGAATCTGCAGTAGAACTCATTCAGATCATTAGCCAAGTTTTTATTGCCCATTGATGAGGAGGCTGGAGCTTTGTACTTTGTGATGGTCTTTAGGCCTGACCACACTGAAGCAGGGTCGTTGGTTGCAAACTGTTTTTGCAACTTTTCAGAGTGCGTTCTTTTGGCAGCTCTGATCTCCTTATTCAATGTATTTCTGGCCTGTTTGTACAAAGCGCAATCTCCACTCTTGTAGGCAGCACCCTTGGCTTGACGAAGCTGTTTGAGTTTTCCAGAGAACCATGGTTTGTCATTGTTATATGTCACATAAGTCCGGGTGGGGATGCACATCTCTTCACAGAAGCTGATGTAGGATGTTACAGATTCTGTGAGCTCGTCCAGGTCTGAGGCAGCAGTTTCAAAAACACTCCAGTCCGTGCAGTCGAAGCAGGCTTGTAGTTTCTGCTCTGCCTCAGTGGTCCATCTTTTAACAGTTCTCACTGCAGATTTAGCTGCTTTGAGCTGTTGCTTATATGCTGGAATAAGGTGGACCAGGCAGTGGTCGGAGAGTCCTAAAGCTGTGCGGGGGACGGCGTGGTAGGCACCCTTGATCGATGTGTAACAATGATCCAGAGTTTTCCCCTCTCTGGTGGGGCACTCTATATGCTGCTGGAATTTTGGCAGTTCTCTTCTTAAATTGGCTTTATTGAAGTCCCCAAGAATAACACAGACAGAGTCTGGGAAACGCTGCTCCACATTCATGATCTCGTCAGCAAGCTGTTGCAGCGCTTCGCTTACACGCGCCTGCGGCGGGATGTAAACACTGACAAGAATATACGAGGAAAACTCTCGGGGTGAATAGAAGGGCTTGCATGTAATAAATAGCGCTTCCAGATCAGAACAGCAGATCTTCTTCATCACTGTTACATCTGTACACCATCTCAGATTGATGTAGAAGCATGTACCTCCTCCACGAGTTTTTCCCGTAGCGCTCAAGTCGCGATCTGCTCTGAACAGCGCGAACCCGGGCAGGTTAAGAGCGGCGTCCGGTATCCCTTCGTTGAGCCAGGTCTCCGTGAAACACAGCACAGCAGAGGTTGAAAAGTCTTTTGTGAATTCCATGTTTAGTTGTGTTTTATAATTGCTCATTTTCGGTACACACTATTGATAGATCTTCCGCTGCACTTTGTTTAAAGGCCGAAAAGAAAACAAGCGAGAAACTTGTTTCTTTTTGGTAAACAAATCAGAATCAATCAATTCAAAATCAATCTTTCTTAATTGTCAGTGTTGCCAGAAAACTGTTCCAAATGCATCAGATGTTCAGCCAACATTCCGTGTATATTACGTCTGAGGCGGAGACTCATTAGAATCTGAGTTTACCTGGTATTTGAAATCTGTATCCAATTTGATACATAAGCAGGCTGTAAATTGCATTAATATATGTAAACACTTTAATATTTTAAAGATTGCTTATTATAATGTCATTTTGTCTGGATTTTTGCAAAGTCCTGCAAGTTTGTCCTCTTGATGTAACCATATCCCCCCTGGCTTTTACCCTGTAATGCACATTATTTTTTAATAAAAAAAAAACAGCACACTAAAAGGTCAACCTACAGTAGTTATTGTGTATACTTTTGAGGATTGCTTTTTTTTTGTTGTTGGAGGAATTTGACCGATACAATGATGGACCTCAAACTGACTTAACCCTCACAAAACATTTGACTAATGATATAATATCTTCCATGAGCAGTGCTTTTTTTAATTAATTTAATTATGAAAGCAAGTTATTTTATCATTAGCATAATAGTTAGAATTAAGCTAACGTTGAAATACAGGTAAATGGACAACAAACAGTCATATTTTTGTATATGGGATGCT